ATGATTTACTATTAGGATTGCTGGGCATGGATGATCTTATTGAAACACCTCATAATGATGGATAAGACTTCCATTCCCCAGAGTCTGGATATAGAGTGGGAACGAGGAAGAGAGAGGTATTTCAAATAGGGTGATAGTTGTTTTTTTTAAATGAAAACTAGTCAATTTTCTCTGCGCACTCTGGGAAACAATCTAGTTCCTGGAAGGACTGTGCAGGAACTGAACAGGGTCTTATTTTACGGAACAATAACTAAAGTTAACACTAAACTGTATGTGATGGTTTTGTCAATAAAAAACATAATATAATATAATAATTGTTATTTGCAGCCCTACTGTTTAACTGCACAATAACTGTAAAGTTAATTATCATCACCACATTGTCTTCACCGCCATCGCTACCATCTCTGTCAGCACTTTTAGCATTATTTCCACTGCTGAAATGACTACAATAACCACTAAAGATGTTATCAGTCACCACAAGCATCATTGACCTGTTTTAGCGTACATAGAGTGAGCTAACTAACAGCTATGACCCGATCAATGACATAAAGAATCAATACAGCGACGCACTTCCCTCCCGCAGTTATATTAATGTTTTTGATGCAGGATTGTGAATTTATAATACCAGCAAACAGAACAAATTATGCAACTTTTCTTTGTGTTTTTGCTCCCAAACAAACTCTTTTAGAATTTGTCTTTTGGTGGGAAATAAATGTCTCCAAAACGTTTAGAGGAGCTGAAATCTTAAACTGTACATCGAACAAACAGATGAAACACATTGTTGCTAACTGTACGGACAGTACAGGCATGGCACTAATTATAGCAACTGATGCATGTATGTTCAACATTCAGCAGTCTGTCGCTATATGGTGTAAAGGAGCCTGGTGTACAGCGCACAGAGAGTCCAGCAGTTGACTGTTTGGAGTGTATTCCATAAAATAAGGTCACAAACTCTAAATTGTTGGTGTGGAGGAACTGAGAGAATTTAAGGATTAGTTGGACTTCAAATCTTCTGAGGCTGAGAGACATCTGAGGCTACCCTGCAGGGTGTCCCACAAGATGAAAATCATTTGTCCATCATGAGACACTAGAGTAAATAAGGCTCCTCTGAAAACCCTACTTACTTCCCCCCCAACCCCACAGGAATAAAGCAACAGTGCTTAATCTATTATTCACATTTCAGGGGCTCAGTACAATGAATCGGATATTTCTATTTGATTAAGTTTCCACTATATACTTATTTTTATTGTACTCATTCAAATCCAATATTGCACAACGTAGCGGGGATGAAACGAAATTATGAGCATCTATTTTTAAGAATAGTCTCTTCAATTTATTGCTGGAGAGAAATATAGAGGGAGCAGCTCAGAGCAGCATATTCCCAGAGAGAACCTCATTTGCTGTAGAGCATCTTCATCATCACTCATGTCTTCCCTTCATCTATTCTATCTCGGTATTGATTAACCCACTTCCTTCTTTTACTCTCTGACTGCGGGTCATCCACCATAGTCGTCCTACATCTCTTATAATCTCATTCTTATGTTTTACGGAACCCATCTAATGTTTGCGCTCATAAAGCAGACTGACAAACCTGCTACTCTAACTGCCTTTTCACCATAACATGCCGTACTAGGAGGAATTTAGAAATAGCTCTGTGTAAACAGGACTGCAGTAAAAGCTTTTGGTAAGAGCTGAATAAGTCGGGAATGAGTCTCTAAATGAATATGTACTGTCCAGCTAATATCAAATAGAGACAGAATGACGGCACAGTGCTGCGTCCTTGGCCTAGTATGTTTAAAGGCTGGCATAAAGGTTTTGTGAAGAAATGTGAGGAGTTTTTGTTCAAAAATGGAATACCGACTATTACTGGTTGCCGTACTGGGTGTTTTACCTTATTAGACGCACTGACAGACTCACCCTGCAGAAATCACACATCGTCAGCCCACCACAGGACTACATGTCTACTAGGTCTTTGGAAGAATCAGGTGAGAACAAAAAGGGGGGGGACCAAACCCTTGTGGTGACGACACTAATCCAGCATCCTGGACCAACACATAGTCCTATTCACACTTTTGGAAATGATCTGATACTGTATATAAACATCTGTGTGTGCGGATACTGTAGTCTACTCTCTGCTGAAATACCGTGTGACAGATGTGGAACTAAGAGTTACAATAATGGTGACATACTTTATTGATCCCTGCCGATAGATCCTCTCTGCACACGAGCAGGTTCAGAGGTCAAGAGATCAGGGTCAGCTGCAGAACAGCCTTCTGGGAATAAGCGTCTCAGTGGAACTATGGTGGGATGTTTTAACTAACCAGAGTCTTCAAACTGCAACTTCTAACTATTTTTAGACTCCCATTACCCTCCAGGAGATTAAAATCAAAGCCTCCTTGTTACCAACAGTATTCCTTTAACCACACAGCAGGGTACTTTGTCCTATTACAGCCTGTTCCCCGATGCTGTAGCTTATGTCAGTGGTAATTAGGCAGATAGGTGAATACTGATGAAAAAACCATTATTATCACTTTATTATTTCTTTCAATAAAGATCAAGCATTTCCTGATTAATAATGTATGGTCATTATTAACAGATGATGTGTATATGTTGTAAATTAGGACCATTCATTACTTGTATGGCTTCAAAAGGAAAGCTGTATTTGCTGCTGTATGCCACCTAAAATGAAACCACATCCAATACTGTAAGCTGTACTGTACCACATCACCTACCTTGAGCTATGGCTATGGACTCGAACTTGTGCAGTTCTCGCAGCAGACAGGTGCGCTCAGTTGGATGCAGGCTATAAATAAACTCCTTGGCTCCCCGGGGCGAGTTGAGGTTCTCCACGGGCTCCTTCTGCGGGTGTGTGCCCAGGTTACACCGCTGCACCAGCATGGAGAGCGGGGGCTCCGAGGCGAACCGAGCTATGGCGGATGTTTGGTGGTTGCTGAGTCCGGCTGTGGCCAACCCGGACCCGGCTCTCAGAGAGAGGGCGGGCCGAAGGACTCTCCGCAGGCAGGGCAGCATCTCTGGGATGGGGGGTCGAGCAAAACCGCCGGGAACCTGATGGAGAACAGCGGAGGACAATATAACAGGCCCGGTTACCACTGTGAGCCCGCACTCATCCACAATGTTTAATATGATTCTGCTATCATTATAAAATAGCATTTGAAGTGATCGCTGCGACGATCCTTCACAGCGTCCATCTGGAGGCAGCCTGGGTTATTTAAGGGCAAAACACGGGCCTGACAGTAACAGTTACACAATATTAAAGAACACATCGATTCAAGCCTATCCCACCCGCCTATTGGGAAACACCAAGTAGGAAAAAGATGCGACAGCTGTTAATTAAACTGCAACTTATGTGATCGGACGCACCTCAGTCGATGCTCCGCTGTCCCGTCCAACAACCTCCACAGGAAAACCTTGACAATCCTGAAGCTGCTCCGCCGCTCGGTTCTTCTTTAGCGGCTGTTGTTCAGCAGACAGCTGCAGGCAAACCTCAGAACACCTAACTGGATGTAGGATTTGTACAAAATCACATTTTTGCGAGCGTAATCCCGCCTGCTGTAACCTCTGGCTGACAGGATGGTGTGAGGCGGATGGGAGGGCACCAGCAGACCCGAAAATATTTTCCAATAGCAGCGCTGCTCTCCGCCGTGCGTAACAGTGACGGCACCAGCTCACGTACGTACATTCAGCACATAGGCACAATGGACAGTCGGTTATATTCATGTTATACTAGCTCTGCCATAACGACACAGCGCCAATGTGGCCCTGTGTAAAGTTAAAGGTGTGAGAATAAAACACTGTAATATTTGATATGATGTGTGCGCTGTCGCTCTATAATGAATGACTTGGTTAACCTCCTGTGTTCAGATTGTAATATAGATAGATTGGATAATAATTCATCTAGTTAATGGTTAATTGCTTTACATAAATATGAATATCAGCCTATTCTAATGCCGAAGAAGAAAGAGCATCGTTGGAATGTTATAATATAGTGTAAAGATTGAACAATACTACAGTTTCCATGCAGTATGCTGAATGTCAGAGACAAGCTTTCAGTCTGTTGTAGGACTGTAAGACACATTGTCCTTTGGGTGTGTGCTCATCCCTCCCTCTGCTATTATGCGCGTGGAGTCCACACCCCAAGAAAATATGACACCATGTGGAAGTTATTTGTTTCGAGGGGGAAGCCAATTCTTGGGGGAAAAAGAGGAAAAAGAGTTTGTTTCACTAAGCTAATGCTTTGTTCGTGTATTTCTTCATTTACTTTTCAAGGCCTCCTGTGCGAGAGTGGCACATTCAGTGTGTTAGTGGTACTTTTCTTGATTGGACGAGTGTTTTCGGGCTTCTTAAGGATGGAAGGAGGGATGTATTATCTGTGAACCTGGTTTGTGTGTTAAAAGAAGCTCGGACAAGAGCGACCCCTGGTGGCCAAACGCAAGCACATCATCTGTTTACATCCTGATCAGAGGCAATGGAGGCTTTATTCACTAACTGAGGTTAGGATACCATACTGTTCAGCTAGATTTGAACCTATATATGTCAATGTCCACTATCCCACAATATGGCCACTAAAAGCATTGTCACAAACAATAAAATTAACACACAGGTCATTGTCCAGCGGCCAATCTGCAAGAAATGAATCAGTTTGTCGACTATTTACCTAAAAGTCATGAATGTGAGATGAAAATGTAAAGATGTTTAGGCCTGAAAGAGGTTGAACACTTGCACATTCAAGAAGTCAGTGGGGCGAAGCAAAATTTATATTTTTATTATATTGCTAAAGCTGTCATTACACAAAAAATAACAATCTTTTACTTCCTGAAACAAACTGCATCATAGCCTGTTGGACTGTACAGGGACAGACAGAGAGGTCAACTCTCCTCGGAGGGAAAATAAGCTGAAAACTAAACTAGAGACCAGGTTTAATTGTACTTTCAAACCCTCACAAACTATAAACTTCTTATTCATAGGATATACTGACATTTGGCAACTCTGATATAATATATAATTATGCTAACAATTTAAATATGGAAATTACAGGTTTATAATACAAGTTTTAGACAGGTGGACGGCCAAAAAAAAAAAATCTAAAATATAAACATCATTAACAATATCAAGACTGAATTTCCCAAAACATCTAAGCAGTAATATTATCTTTGCTTCAGTATGGTTTGTGGTGCCTCCTCCTGTTCACATGACACGATTATATAAGAAACCTGTTAAACAAACTGGATTTTCATGCTAAGATGTCTTTGGGAAACTCAGGTCAGATTAGGTCAGATTAGGTCAGACATTGTGGGCAGCGGGCCCTTTGTTCAAATCTAATAAGATAAGATAAACTGTTCAACTGTTTTTACCTGAAATCAGATATGAAAAGAACCGAGGTGCAAACATTTCAAATTAAATCACCATCAGGGAACATTTAAAAGTTTGTATTTTGCCATCAGCTCTGCACCATGCAAATAATAATTTGTCCAAAAAAATCGGAACCCATAATACTGATGCAAGCCTCTTCATTATAAAACTTAACTTTTGAACACGTTTCTGACTTCTGTTGGTACCTGGAAGTCACAGGAACACACTTTGCATGTGTGTGTGAAATAAGGGACATAATGAATAGTAGCAGGATATTAATGAACATTTCACTGATGAAACAACACATCATCAGATATGCACGGATAAAACTCAATCAACTCTATTACTCTGATATTTTATATATGTATAAAAATAGAGATAGGTTGAGAAAGAAAAAGATTTAAAGACTGAGAAGTGGAAAATAAATTAAAAAAAATGTGTGACTTTCTGGACTAACTTGCTAAATCATATTTACAGTTTTATACATCTTGTAGTAGAGCTTGTTCTCACAGTGCTTGAACTGAAATTAACATACAGACTGTAACTCAAGGATACAAATTACTACTAGTACTATAAGTCCTACAACGCTGCAGTCTGAGGAGAAGCCTCATATGTCCAAAACATAATATTGTCAAGAAAAAAACTTAATATTTTAATGTATCTATGGTAGACTTACTTGTTTAATTATAGAATGAATTTTGATGTAATTTATCAATTTTTAAGAAAACAAAATCTGTGCGAACCAGACTTACCACATTTGATGCTGTTAAAAAAAAATCTAAACGCCAGAATTGGAAATGACAAATGTAAAAACCTAATTAATCAAACAGACATGAGCATGCATGCTACATGTGTTTCAAAGAGTTCAACAGAACAGCAGACGGGACAATTAAAACAGTGTGGCATTATCAACTACAGCGTCTAACTCATAACTTTCAAATCATCAAAAAAATATTTTTCCAGATTAACTTTTATAAAATGTATGACAACATATATATATATATATAAATTTGAATTACTGTTGAGTTTTGACATGGCATATCTGTAATTTCATTAGTAATGTTATGAGCAATCAATGCGCGGCAGGTTGCAGTATGGCTATTAAATGCTACAAAAAAGAAGGGACTAATATATAAGGGCTAATAGATAAACACAAACCACTGAGGAGTTCTACAAAGCTCAGCATGTAGATATTGTAGATTAAATGAGATTCATACTGGGGGAAAAAAAAAAAGAAAAATATAACCAATTCACATCCAAAGGCAATGGGGTACGATGATCATTGTGTGAATAAACACCTCGTTTAAAGAAGTGAAACTCTAATGATTATGGAACTGTGGAGGAGCAGAAGGAAATAAAGCAAAGACACAGAGAGCGAGGAGCACCAACACACTCCTCAGCAACACAGACATGCAAAATTATTTACACATCATGTAAATACTACAAAAACTAAAACAAAACAGGACGTAACTCGTAGTGTCTCTTAATGTCACGGCATCAACCATGTGACGCTTTAGTTACGCCGTAGTCTCCTGCAACTTTGACTTTAACACAAAGTCATGTCATTTGCCTTTTGAGGAGCTCTATATTGGTCATACCCCTGCACCTGTCGGCTTTGTGGACATCTCAATGAAATATTTGAACTTTGAGTGGAAGACAGCTTCGCTAACACAGCACCTTCCTCCAGCCATCAGCGCTGTGCTCCAAGTAAGCAGGCAATGCAGTCAGGGGGAACGGTGCCATCAAAAGGCGACTACTGGAGCCACGGCTTCCTAGAGCACCTGAATATTGCTCTCTTGATGCTGTGTAGTACCTGCACTGCTATCTGCGCTCCTTCTGCCAAGTCTCTTGGCAGTTGGAATGCTTATTCATCCCACAATGCACTCCCCAAACACTGAGTTGTTACATATAATGGGCAGTGTTTTCTTTACACTGAGAAGAAGCATACACATTGTCCTTGTCCAACCCTCAGCTTCAGGCAGAATACTGCATACGTGTGTTATTAATGTCTTACAGTCCTCTTAAAGAAATAAACATACTGTGGTGTGATGCAACATCCTGTTCTTCATTACACAGCTGTTGGCTCGGATTTGGAAAAACATTCTAGTGCTTAGGCCAAAACCTTTATAACAGACTTATGTGAGAAATTAGGTCTTAACCTTATACTGGTACAATTACTCAACTTAAACAAGGATCTACAACAAGTGTGCGTGTGATCCACTTTAGGTCCAAACCAATATGTTAATAAATCTGGCTTATATATTTTGAATATATTTTTCTCTTTGAATCATTATAGATGGCTTCTGCAGGAATTGTCACAGGTGGAAATTTACAGCTACGCTACATGTAGAACAGGTGTATCTGATTTCTCGTACTAGCATAAGAAGCCTTTTGATTCAGTACATCATGTTTCTATGTGCAACATTTTTTCTAAAGCCTTTCACCTCATTTACAAACACAATGAAGGAGGAGCCTCACTTCTACGAGCTCGCGGTTCTAGTGTCATGTCATCATGCGATGCGTGGTGCAGAGCGGTCGTTGGTGAGGGTTCTCTTGAGCTTGACCCCCTTACGGATGGCCACCAGCATGTTGCCTTCTACCCCTTCTCCTGCCTCCTCTCCACGTCCTTCCAGCCCTGTCTCACTCTGAAGGTGCTGCTGGTTGGGCAGGGGTACAGTCGGAGGATTGGTTGTAGCCTGACCACTCCAAGACACCATAGGCAGCGTGCCGGCATCCCCTCCTCCTGCAAATGTTGGAGAATCTGGGCTTTCTTCTCCTCCTCCTCCTCCTCCTCCTCCTCTTCCTCCTCCCATCTCCTCTGCACTCCTGCTCCCATTAACTGCTCCTGACATATCGGGCACTGTAGGGATTTTCACTGGGATGACAGGTGTACGAATAGGGATGGGGCCTGTTCCCCCAACTGAGCCTGAACGGCGGGCAGAAGGTTTTGAAGATGGTGTGCGGCGGATTGTGGCAACCCCAGGGGTCACAATAACTGGGCCATGGCCTGTAGAATACGAGCCAGAGGCATTATGGGAGCTGGATCCAGAATAAAAGCCCTGACCTGAGCCTGCAATGATATAACACAAATGTATTATTTTCTAAGCCATTAACAAAATCAAGTTTACTACTAATAAAGTGTACTTCAGTATATTGTACGGCAGTCTTTGTTATTGACATAAACCAACATGATACCTAACAAACACACAACATCAAGAAGGTCAAATTTGAAAGATTTAAGTGAACATATCCAATTGTGACACCATCAGTGCAGTCTGTACCTGTAGGGGTAGGAGGATAAGCTCCAGTGTGGATAGGTGTGGAGGGATACGGCCCTGCAGGGTAGGCCCCCTGTCCGGGGTAGGGAGCCTGTGTGCTGGGCAGGCCGGCAGTGGAGGCTGGCCGTTTGCTCTGGAACATGAGTCGGTAGGACTGACTGATGTCACTGTTTCTGGGGATGGTGGAGGACTTGTCAAAGTCCAGCTGCTGCTGCTCAGGCTCCTGATCTCCAGCCATTGAGAAATAGTCATAGTCTGATACTAGAAAGTGAATATAGAGGGGTTAACAATGTAGTGACACAATGAGATATTGTATATTATGATACTAGAGGATGACAGAGAAAGAGGTTGGTTTAGAAAGAGTGTGTTACCTTGTGACGGTATTGTGTCTTCAGAGCAGCAGGGTGTGTTGGTCTGTGTGCTGTAGCCACTGGAACACTGGATGGAGTCTCTACTGGACCTCTGTGTGTCCAGCTCCAGACCTCTGGATAAGGCCAGAGCCAGTTCCTCGTGGGCCTCAATATCAGCAGCCTGGAGCAATCACCCAATGACAAAAACATTTGGCATCAGGGTCTGAAAGTCTGAATACAGCCAGGTACTATTCATTAAAGTCATTACAATCATTAGGTACAACATATTAAAGTCATTAAATGGGATTGCATTAGTGGTGAGAGGCTCATTCATGTGGTCTAAATGCCATGACTGCAAAAACATCAGCCTGCTGGAAGTTGAATGTGAGGACGCCTGAAACTAAGCAACACAGATGGCATTAAATGTAGACTGACCTATGTTAATGTGCCTCGTCCAGTATGTGTAGAATTAAGAGGTTAATAAATCACTGAAACATGCAGATATTTTTGTGGCAATTTGTATCCAGCTGCAGCAAAGTACAAATGTTTTCCAGCACAAAGTTGAAAGTGGAGAAGCATAAAAGTGGCTGAAATTATATGGATGCATGTAAAAACATAAACTAGCATAAAGTATAAATCAGATGAATAAAAAATGACCCTCTACTACAGGTCTGGGGACCCTATAGTAGTGCAAGGCTAACGGCCAGCTTCTCAAGTTGCTATTATCAACAGGAACTTCTTAAAGCTACTAAAGTCTAAACAGAGAATATTATTGTGTATATATATATATATATATATATATTATAAAAAAACAGCATAGCTTACTGACTAAACAAACAAAAAATGAATGCCTGGCTAAAAGTCACATCGGCTAAATGACGCCACGCTGCTGATTACACTAAAGCAATTAAGCAATAAAGTAATAAACCAGATTCTGTGCTTGCTTATTGTATAAGTTGCTGTAGAAAACACAAACAGCATGAGACTAAAACTGACCTTGAGAGCTGCAGCCACAGTCCTGTTCTTCTCCTCCACTGATGCTGACGTTTGTAGTGCAGCCTGAGTTGGCACTGAGGTTGAGATGGAGGCTGGGATGCTGTCGTTACTCACACTACCATTACTGTCTACTGCAGCTGGGGTGTCCTTGTCTTTCTTCCTCCTCAGTGTGTTAACCATGGGCTGGTCATACGGGCCTGGCTTAGCCCAGTCCTGTCAAGAAAGATACATCAGTGTCGACACTTCACATTTCTCTGGTGGGCTTTTGATAAAAATCTTTCCATCTTATTTTCAGCTTAAACTCTGCAGATTTAAGGTATAAAAAAAGAACTTTTATTTTTATATTTATACAGTCAGTAAAACAAATATCAAGACAAGCAGGATGGGATGGAAATAAGTTGATTGTCAAGGCCGAGGTGATCAACAAACCTTCCAGCTGGGGACTCGTGATGAAGGCACCATGGGGCCCAGTGTACAGTAGTGAGGGTAGTCTGGTAGCAATGCTGAGGCGGGACGTGACCATGAACGGGTGGGACTGGAGGAGGAGGTGGAGGATGAGGAGGAAGCAGGGAGGAAGGGGAAGGCAGTGCCTGACCCTGAGCCCAAACTCCCCCCATTGCTGTGCGGGTATGGGGAATTTGCTGGACTGTAGTGGTCAAAACCATTGGACAACTGGATGTGTGCGCGTCGAAGGGATGAAAAAAAAGGAAACAGAAAAAACAGAACAAACACACCATGGGATAAATTATTGAAATGATAAACAGTGGAAAATGAAAACAAAGCAGACCACATCACTGAGGAGAATGATTCAAAAGAACACAAAAACAAAGAATCTATATTGATCAAAACAGAACCAATCAAACGGTCACGAATGCTGAACTGAATGAAACTGGAGAAAATGATACACATGCCGGGAAGTTTGAAGGCTCTTGAACATTTCTGGGATAAACTAAAGTCGATGGACTGTACAGCCAAATTGGAAGTTTAGTATGAGGAAGCCATGGTGCATGTAATGCTGGCATAAGACAGACATTTATGACGGGTAGGGTTCATGGAGGATGAGTGTGTTTCACCTTGTCAGTAGCGTGCTGAGGTGCAGTAGTAGCAGCTAGAGAAGAGGGGGGGCTGCAGTCACTGTGAAGCTGCCCAGCCTCTGACACCTCAGAGGACCTGGAACTGGGACATGGCTGGGACAGCGAGGGCAGCAGCAAGCAGGCAGTGGGACGAGACCAGAAGGAGAAAGGTGGGGAGGGTGGAGGGAGAGGGAAATTGAGACGGACAGACACGTCAGCAGGTAGACAGAGAGAAGCAGTTTGTTAGAAAGCAGCGGCAACTTTTCCACAGCCCTCAGCAGTTAGTGAGGAGTACAGCCAAGTTACAATAAAGGCTGCAGAGAAGGTGCACTGGGAGTCATACTAGCATTAATTGCATGGACATCAGCAGTGTTGGAGCCTTGTTAACAAGAAGCACAGGCAAAGTTCTTCTTCTTTAGGATGTTGAAAGTATCCTCACAAACTGTGCCACATGATATTTAAAAAGGGGTCACTTAGCAAATAAAGCCCTGGTTATTTTATTAACATTAATATTATGATTATCCATGCTATAGGGAAATAATCTATGTGTATGCTGCTGTCCAGAAGGAGATTAGAGATTGGGGTCAGCTACAGAACATCACCCTGCATAGAAGTGGGTATTGAAAATGGATAAAAATTACAGACATCCACATTAAAAGTAAACTGTAGCCTGTCTTTGGTTTAAGGAGTAAATCCCTGTAAACCCTGCTTAGCCATGATGAGACTGTTCTTTTTCAAATACCAACTGTGGTAACTACACCAAAGAATGAGGCAATGAGTGTACTGTAAATGGGTCAGACATTCACTTGCCAAACCACCTTCACTGCATCATAAAAACTTGGAGTCTAACTATACCAATGTGTTCTGGACAGGGGACCTGTGGTTGCTGGCATGCCAACAAAACGCCAACTAGTGCAGCCGCTCTAATGGTTGATCTCAAAACCACAAACCCCATACAGACAATCCCCTGGACTATCACATCGATAATTATCTGAAACCCTGTGTCAGATGGTTAGATAAAACCGACCGAAAGGGACCTGCTGATAGAGACATGGTCTTAGTGCCTGTAAAACATACTGTTGACACTGTAACATGTCATTTTACTGTGATCCATTTAATGAAAATTCAACATGCAATATGCTCAAGGCTCTGCAAGTTTAACCACACCACAGTCTGTCACAGCGGTCGACTCTTTAATAGCAGGATGGGGCTGACCTGTTCTGCCCTGGGCTAGAATGGAGGCAGACTAATTTCCTGTGCATTTATGCTATAATAATAGCAGAGAAATGACTTCACCATGATCACATACACTTACTCCTGCCAGCTAACTGCCTCTCTTAGTGGCTAAGGAGATGTGTGAGAAAATAGTTGTGTGGATTGCTGATTTGGGGTTTTCTCTCTGTCTCTGACTACAATAACTTGTAAATCATAGAGCACATGTGGCTTTATAGTCTTGTCTCAACCATGTATACATACTTAGAACCAAAACTATGGTTAAGTGTGGGTAGCTGAGGGTTTTTCTTACCTTTGTTTCAGCTGTCATAGGCGAGGACGATTTGGACGATGTGTATTGGTCGTGTGATGAAGAAATAAAGCCCGAGTCGTGGGAGGAGATGCTAGAGAGCCGAGCTGGGGCCTGCTGGGGTAGCGTGGAGCTGCGGTACCGATGGCGGGGGTGATGGTGGTGAAAGAGGTGGTGTGAGGAAGAGGAGGAAGAAGAGGAGGAAGGAGAATGAGAGTGAGAGCCACTGGATCCCCTGGAGTCACTACTGTTAACGCTGTTCAGACTACTGTGAAAAGGGAAGGGGTAAGGGATGAGGGGAGGACCAGAGGAAGGAGAAGTTTGGCAGTGACAGGCGGGGTAAAGAGAATCAAGTGCATCCAAAGACATGGATAGCAGGAAGATTGGATAAGAAAGAGATAAAAGGAATAATAGGGAGGGAATAAAGGCAGAGGATTGGGGGAATGTGGAGGAGACAGGGTGGGAAACAATTAACACAGCACACCAAGATGCAGCAGGCAGTGACTGAGGCCAATCAAGTCAAAACAACAAAACAAACCAACATAAGAGGCGTGATATCATAATGACAATAATTACAGGCATGAAATCAGGAGATTTCATGCCTTTGAGACAGCTTTTTAAGAATATTCAAACAGAGCACACATGAAAAGCATAAACACTAGGCCTAATTACTGTGTAAATTGAGACTTGAAAGCAACAATTTAAACATTTAAAGCTGATATTAAAATAGTATATTGTAAATTATGTACTATGAAAAATGCATACATTATGTATCAAATCATGTACAAACTTAACAAAATGAGTGAGAAATCTGTGAAAATTATGATTGCAAGAGATACAAATCATAGAAGTGGCTGTCTCACAGTGATTTTTTTGAAAACATAATAAGCAAAAGCTTTGAAAATGTTGTATCTGCAAAAATCACCCATATAAAAGACCAAGAAAATGCAACCCAGGCATAAATTGTATTTCTTTAAACCAGGACAGTTCAGAAAAAATCATTGGGAGACACACAAAAAGCAGGGAGGACAGAAGGTAGAAGACGTGGTCTGAACAGCTAAAGAACAAAAAGGCTCACTTTTTTAAATTCATTCTTTAAAAGTCTTATTATTTTCCACTAACCACGTCATATTAAAAACATATCTATGTGCCTTTCCTGACAAAGTAGGTCCACCTTCACTGTATTTCTCAGTGAGGTGAATAATTAGTGACTATCAGTAACAAAAAGGAAATGAAGCAGAAATATGAACAAACTAGGATACAGAATTTGCAAACCACTCCAGCTCATATTGACCACTGGGTGGCAGACATAGATTGGGCAACAAAAACGTTTTTATCTATGTCCTTGTTCTCCACCGCATTACACTGATGCAAGCTGTTTTCGAAGAATATTTATAACTGATACAGGACAGATTTGTAGATGTCAGTAGCTCCTGTGTGTAAACATGTCTGATATAATATAATCTCTAACTTGACCAAATATAGACATTGTATGCGGTTTCATCTCCTTATTCCTCAGTTTGGTCAGTGGAAATGGTTGACCAAACTAGAGTAATCTCATTTTCCATTCATTCATCATTTTGAGGCACACTGGATCACAAAAACGTTTTATGGCTATAGCAGGTAAATGTGTTGCTTATTTGAGGCCATGAGTCTTGTAATTGGCTGTAGGAGCCTACCTGCACATGCTAGACTTCCTGGACATTGTGGTGCTGGGGGAGGAGGGCGGTGTTTGATATGACCAACCGTAGTCTGAGCCCTTCAGGTCCAAGATCACCTGAGAGGGAGGAAAATATTAGTCATATTTATTAGTCATATTTGTGTACATGACACACACATATTGTGACAGTGAGATAAAGAACAGTTGCTTTAGTGTTAGTTCATTGCTCACCTGCTCACTAGCAGGGGGAAGCTTGTGTGGGTCCGAGGTCAGGGCTTTGAGGTCATCAGATATAGCCTGGAGATGGGTGACCTCTCCCAACATAGAAATCTCCTCATCCTAACAGAATACATAGCAGAGAGAGATTAGACATTTTTGAGTGGTGAAGTAGAATGAAAATACATCTTTTCAGTGGGACTAAAACGAAAAGTAAAAGACACTGTGGAGTGAGGTGAGTTTCTGTTGTTCTCCCTGTGCTTTTTGAAGGCTCATTTCTCTCTTTCTCCCTCACTGTACTCACCACTACAGGCCGCAGCATGGCTACAAAACAGCAGAATCTCTGTCTGTCCTCTATAAGAGCCTTCCTCAGGGCCTGCTTCTCTGTCTCTTCCAGCAGAATGTATTTATCACTGACATCCTGCATGGCGCTGTCCAACTGGGGTTGGATATCACCGCGACCTTGAAAACAAAATGGACACACAGACACAAACAAAAAAAATATATACATCATTACAGGTATAATAAAATTGTCAACTCACAAGGAAACACATGACTGGTCTATTTACGACTTTAAAATGTTTAAAAAACAAGGTACTGAGATTAGATACCACTAAGCATTCCTTCAAACATACACTAAAAAGAATAGAGTAATGCTACAGTAACATGCATTAATAATCACAATTATAATCATGTAACAATGAAAGAACATTTTGTGGCAATTGGTGTTGATTTTCATCACTTCTCTCTGGTGTTGGCTTGGACGGTTACTACTGCATCATCTTTTCATTGTGGTCACTGCTATCTTCAATGCTAGCATTTGAATGTTCCAACTACGTTTTGGCTATCACTGCAGCATGAAGGGCCACTCTTGTCATGGAAGTGTCTCTTGTTAGTGAGAAGGTTATCTACTTTAGACTAATCTGTTGCTTGTCTTGGAAAACTTGGCAAATCTATTACGCTGAGATAGCCAAAAGTGAGTGCGTTGACTATCACTCCATTGCTCTTTGTAAAACACTTAACACTGGGCGTGTGTGTGCGCTTCCACAAATGAAAAGCAGGCAAGGTATCTCCAAGACCATCTCGTCCTTGTGCTTTCTATGTGTGTGTGTTTGAATCTGCATATGTAAATCCAGAAATGTCTTAGAGCAATAACAATCCCAAGGTTATCCAGTTTTTCTGCTCTGTGTGTAGTTGCATGCACATTTCTGTGTGTGATTTAAAGACTGGACACACTGAAGCCAAATCAAGCCCTCTTGACTTCTCTATGGAGGCAGGAAGGCTGGCGACTGCCCAAGATGACATACAGTGGGCCTCAAAGGCATCTAACCACTCAAACTACACGTACACACAAACATACACACGCACATACAAGGTTGACTTTGATACATCAAGGTTAAACCCACAGTGAACAACTCTGTGGTCTGTCTGTCTGCTCTTGTGTCTGGGCAAAGATAACAAACTGGCGTCTTTTGTTGACATTTGACGTGAGGCCCTATATCATGCAAATCAGTAATAAAGAAACACAGATAGAGTTACACAGGCAAATCACTCTCACCTCAAATGTAAAACATAAGGATGTCTATACATTGAATATGATACAGCATGTGGGAAGCTCTGTTTCAGTTGACTAGACCACAATTAAAATTACACTTAACAATGGCTTCAGGCCCACACCCAAATATTAAGCTGATGGAAAAGCACCAATTGGAAACTCTTACTCTCATTATGCGCCATGGTATCATAATAGCTGACATTAATGAGAACTGACTAAATGTTTTCATCACTGAAGTGCGGTGTGAATGTTGACATTGGGTGAAGTTGTCGAATATATCTCTTAGCTATGTATTTTAGGTGGATGAAATTCTTTTAAGACGATGTTTGTGCCCAAAGTGAGACGAATGTGCAATTACACTGTTTTTTTTCCAGTCTAGCTGCTCAAACATTCTAACCAAAATAATAGTCTTCAGACTTTTTGGTAAATATATTAATGGCATAGTAAATCTGCAAAGGACAAAACTTAACAGTATTACTGCAGCTTTCAAGTATAACAACACCACACTGAAATAATATGAGTCCCGGGTAGATACTCCTTAATGGACAAACTGAATTTCTATATATAGGGAATCCATTTACAAAGCTTGGTTTGGTGTCTGTAGCACTGAGAGGAATGTCAGTTATGTGTGCATTTATGGCAGTTCCTTCTCTATTACACTATGGAGACCATGATGGAGTAGATGAACTGTAGACTGGAAAGTCCAAATTGCAGTAGACAAGTATACAATTACATTGTACAAGGTTTTGTGGAGAGCTGGCCGTATGGCTGAGCCTGAAAGGGCTAAGACAGGCCTCACTCATTAGTCTGGTTTCCACTGCAGAACCAAACTCAGTATTATTCATTTCTCTTCGGGAACAATTTGTCTTTTTCCGTCTTGTTGCCAAGAAAATTATTTGTAAGCTGGACTGACAATCCAAATTATGTTTTTAGTCACTAGTTCTACAGCTGGTCAATCATTATTGAAATGAATGCAAAACATCAAGTGCATCTATAAAGTAAACATGCTTACAGTTGAAACTACAGAATTTCAACCCTTTATGGCAAAATGCTCTATATCTACTAAGACAACAAAAGATGCTTTAATGAATGTGTGTGATATACATCAGGTAACGTTGAGAAATATTCTCAATATGGCCTCAATGTAGAAGAGAAGATTTTAAAGCCCAAAACCAGCGTTGCTGTAGTGTCTCCTTGGCATGCAGTAAAACGAGGGAGCATAGGCTACTGCATTCTGGTTGTCTCCCACTAGTTCTAGTCTTGGCAGACTGTATTCTCAACATAACCGCAGTGGTTTTGAAAAGACGCTACTATAAGTTGAGGTACTTTGTCTGAGACAGATGGAAAGACAAATATTTTCTTTGTTGCTGTTTTGGTACATCAATTTGAACATTAATTGTCACATTACTTGCATTCGTACTTATGTTAAGTCCCTTCATTCCATTACATAAAAAAGTTTAAATCTTTCCTGCAGATGCTAGCAAACTTATTTCCAAACATGCATACACTCATGATACAAATAGCATATCAGCTTGTGGTGCTGCTGTAAAAGACTTGTAATTGCTGGGATGGAGAGAGTTGTACACACTCACAGGGACAAAAATGTGTACTGAGACAATGGAGGGACATCCTGGCATGAGATTTCAACTTGTGGTGAGCAGAGGGGTTGTTAGCTGAATTTAAGCTTCTGTTATGTTACAACTTTGTCTCTCCTATGGGTTGTTCCTTGGTTCACGTTCCCATTCTGTGTGCCATAACTATGTGAATGACAAGGCCCTGATTGCTACTTCCTCCTCCTCTTCAACCACTGACAAACACTGAGGTTCACCGAAGGTCAGTGGGCACTGACTGCACTATAAACAAATCCACCCTGACACATATTTCACAAGCCGTTTTTAAGTGCTCAATTAAGGGCAATTAATGCTTGTGACACCTACAATATTTGAATGTCTTGTGGTTTCAAACTCTCAGGATGAGTAAGTGATGATATACTGTAGATATCCAGTACGTATGTCAAACACGCTAGTCTCTAAAATACAGCGACACCAACACACACACCCTAATGTACAATATTTACCAGTCAATTCAGGTAAGTCTAAGATAGATTCCTTAGGTTAATGTGACTAGTTAGCTAGTTTTTACCCCTTTTATTAGCTTTGCTGTGTTGTACAATCCATTATTTATCAGGTTTTGATCAAGTTCTGGGTTAAAAAAAAGTTTCAGAACTGATATTCTACAGTTGTTTTTACCAAACTCAAGTTAGCCAAGATGAATATGAAGGGGGGTCTGCACAGTCTGCACACATGTAGTTACATGTGCACACACGCGCAAATGAGATTAGCTCCAGCTTTCACATGACCAATGATTGCATTAGGTTGCACTCACAGGCTGTTTCTTAGTAAGGCAGTGGTCTCAGATCAGAAAAACACCCTCACAAGACACATATCAAACATCAGATACAGACTCACCAACAAAAGCAGACAGATGAGGTGGGGGTGTGTGTAAGTAGAGTGCTCTTCTTGTAAGTAGCATGACTAAAAATACTAGCCTATTTCCAAATTGTATTAAATGTTTGTGTATTTCTGTGATACAGAGGTCAGTGAGTTTACAGACTTTTCGGGTGAACTCATTGACACAGTCCCCCCCACTGTAAACAAATGAATCCAAAATATCCCAGGTATAGCCGTTGCCATCTTGCGCTGGTGACATTGGTTCATTCGGAACCAGAGTCTGCACAGTAGTGATCAGGGTTGGAGCCCAGTATCAAGGTCCCTCCCATACACCCGGCCAACTCAATCACGAGCAGGGCTCAGTTGTCATTCATGACGGAAAACCCCCTTTTTTATAAATTAAATAGCTAATTAAAACCAAACTTGAACACACACAACATACACAGTGATATGATTCATCCTTACATATGTTGATGGGTGAACCAGGTGCAGTTAGCTACAGTTCGGCACAGTTATCTTTGCTTACATCAAGGGGGGGAATCCCCAATGGGTAAATGAAATAATGCTGCCAAATTAAATTAACAATGACAGTAATATCTTTATATTTTCTCCCTGTCAGCAACGGTGTAAAGTGCTTACCTCTAGCAAGAGATGTATCCTGCAATTTATCATACCCAGTGTCACACAGGATAGTGTAGGTGAACTAGGAAACCATTCCTGCCTACAATTTTTAAATGTCTACAAATGTCTATAAATGTAAAGTTGAAAGTTTCTGAATTATCTGCATTCTGCAGTTTGAAGAAAATCTTTTCTGCAGAAAGAAAATCCAAAAGCATTTAAAGCATTATAAATGTTAAAGTTTTGTTCTAGCAAATTCCTTTTATTGGTTTCACCGTTTTCTTCTCTTCACATTTCTCCAATGTGGCGCCACTGCAAACATTGTGTGTGTGTGTGTGTGTGTGTGTGAGCAGAGAAAAAGAACAGAAACTTGCCAGCATGGACTTGTGACTTGTGTAAATGTAAAATGGACACCACAGAGATGATTAAAGAGAGTTTGCAGAAAAGAATGAGCATCCACTGGACTCACAGACTATTACATTAATGTACTGAAACGTAGTGTAGGGCTGCAACTAACAATTATTTTCATTATTGATTTATCTGTATCTTTATCTTTATCATTAATTGATTAGTTGTTTAAACTATAAAATGTCAAACTGATAGTGTTTCCCAAAGCCCAACGTCACAAGAACACAAAAGATATTCAGCGAAAGAAATCAGAAAATATTTATATTTGAGAAGCTGAAATCAGAGTCAGGGTTTTTTTTTTAATCATGAAAATAGTTGGTGATTAATTTAATAGTTGACAACTAATCAATTAATTGTTGCAGATTTAATGTGGTGGTAGCAATAGTTGTCATATCTGTGGAGGAAAGCTGAGCATGCAAATATTTAAAAGGCATCCACACATATCTTTGCATAAAACTCTATACAGTGGCTTCTTCACAATGCAACCAAGATGCTGTTTAAACATTGTGAGTTGTAAGCAACAACCTGGACAGTGTCTATTCCACAAACTGACTTACCTAGATTATCAGCTGCAGTGCAGCATAAGGAGAAGGATGGTATCGGAACCACATAGGGAGAGGAAAAAGATCCAAGTCAACTAAAAAAGTGCCAGCACTAAACACTAATCCATCCCCTAAAGGTGCAGTCTTGTATATCTGTCACTATTAGTAATGATCACTATGCACAGTAGAAATAAATATGTATATATATAATGTAATCTATTTCATAGTAAGAGTAAGAAGAAGCTCCTTTTCTTGTACTTTTTCCTGAACATCTGTGAACTTTAGGAATGTGAGACACCCATTGATTCAAACCTGAAACTACCAACATCCCTAAACATACTGGAAGCATATTCATCCAATTCCTTTTTTGTGTATGGTATTTTTTCTCTAGGTAGGTGGATGCGTATGTAGAACCTGAGCCAAGAGAACTGCAGACGGAAAAAGCGTGTGCCCTCTCAGAGAGTGTTTACCAAGTAAGGTAATGTTTAGACTTACTAGTCTAATCAGTAAGGACCAACTTCTCCTATACACATCACTGCTGTCTAATGAAAACGTCATATATACAATTTCATATTTAAAATAAGAGATGGCATTTCTCTTTGCAAGTTGTTTCTCAGTCTGAACCCTTTATGATTTTAATAACCATATGTCTCCTTTAGTCCTGAATGTTGGCTTCTTGTAGACAGAGGTCTTTAATCCAGTACACCAAAGCCCAGGTGCATACTGCCCAACTAAAACTGATTATAGCATTTGGAGTAATTCACCAGTAGATGGTGAAAGAGTTGCTGTTTATTTGTCTTCTATTATCATGTATACTACTTGATACATGGGGCAGACCAAAGATTTCTTACTTTTAGCTCTCTCCAAAAGACAGATTTGCAAGCTAAAAAACCACATCTTTCTAAGGTCTGGCTAGTGATGGCAGAAACATAGCATCTATGGGAAACGCACTGACTGAATTTCAAGAAGCCAAGTAAGCCTTTCTTTACTATAGCTAATCTTACCGCTTAAACTCAAGTTTCATGCTTCCCAATTAAGCTTCAAACTAGTAGAGCATAACAAAAGCCCTTTACTTAACATTTCCAAGAATTTAATCTGAACAAATTATCTGACAGACACATGAGATGGATATTTTTCACTAATTTAGCAGAAAAGTTGTTAAATGTGTGATCCCTATGATTACTTACTTACAGATAATAAGCTAGGGTATAATGTGGCATTCTTCTGGCAGAAATTGAATATAATACCTTAGAATGAGTTGTTTTAATCTACAGGGAGAGCGAGTCCTCTTCCACAGAGGCTGCCATGCTGCAAACCAAACACTGGCTCTAGACAGGGCCTGAGCTGTATTCAAATGGTTGCAATCTGCAACTTCACTGCTAGATGCCACTAAATCCTACACAGTGATCCTTCAAATAATAATACAAAAAAAATCTTACCTTTCTTTGCCTTCTTCTGAAGTTTCAGTGTGTCTGAGGACTTCTTCTTTATTTCCTGTCGGGCTCTTTTATATTCTGGTGGATGGACAAACAGTAAACAAACTAAAAAACTTAATGTTAAGGAACAGTTTTTCATACACTTAATAGCAATTTAACACAACATGAATGGAGCTGATGATATAAAATTAATCATATACTGGCACATTAGTTTGCTTTAAGATGTATCCTGAAGTAATTTCTGCATGTTTATGTTATATTCTTGTGTGTGATTATATTTGTTTGTACTACCTTTAGCATGGTCCTTGTCTAAAGTGTTGACTCCTCTTTTCCACTCCTCCATCTGTTCTTGTAGAGGGTTGATCAGACCCTCCAGGAAGGCCCTGTGAAAACAGCAGGATACTTATTTGTAATCTGAGGTCATCCTTGATATTCAAGTTAAATGGCTAATCAAGCTATTAAATAGAGTTAATACAAATGGACAAAATAAAATACCAGCCTCTTGTAACTTTTCACTCTTGCTCACACTTTACAGACCTGTATATCTGTTACTTGATTATAGACAGACCATGTCTATATACTGTATGGTCTTGTCTGTCAATCATTAACAGACAGAAATAAAGGGAGAAAAACAGACTGAGAGGAGAAAAGTCTGCTTCTGCCTGAATGTGTGTCACAGGAGGAATTAAGAATCTTGTGCAGTCATGTCTGTCAATTATTACCTAACTGTGCCTGTCTTATATTTGTGATATATTTGTGAGTGTGTTTAAGAGGCTGTAAGTGTGAGAGGAAGGCAGCTGCAGGCTTAGTGCATGAAACTAAAATTAGACCTCTCCCAGTTGGAAACATTTCTCCAAAGTGTGTGTGTGTGTGTGTGTGTGTTGTGTGTGTGTGGTGTGTGTGTGGTGTGTGTGTGTGTGTGTGGTGACCACACCCCCCTGTTGTACAGGCCCTGCTATGGAGATCCAAGTGGAATCTGTACTGAAATGCCACCCGAAATGAGAGAGAGTGCCTTGTCTGTGTAGTGTGTGTGTGTCTGAGTGAGAGAGAGGTAGAGGGAGAGAGAGAGAGAGAGACATTATAGATGCTTGTGTTGCCAGACAAATCGTCTTTTTCCCAGCCTTCCATGACAAGGGGGCATTCTCACCCACACAGACAAAATGTCAAGACATGGTATATAGAATATGGTAAGATTCACAACAATTCAAATTCATTTTATTGGAGTTTCACTTTTGGTTCAAAGTACACTAACTGTTACTAATACACAGTAGGACACACTGCAAAAGGAAGTAAGTTTAGAAGTTTAGTGCCGACATCTTTTGGTCATAACTCAAAAATCATCTCATTGTAAGCAAATGTTGCACCCCTTAAAGTTGGTGGGCTGTGATTATGTGTAGAGGGTTCGGACATATTTTTTAGCTCAACCAAACCACTGTGATGGGCCTTATGGAGATAGTAACCCCAATAAAATCCCTGCTCCAACCCAACTTCCTTTCATCCCAGCCAAGCATTCACCAAAAAGGTCCTGTAAGTTGGTAAAGACAGACAAAGAAAGAGTAAATCAGCACACTGATGCACTATATGTAGTGTTGCTTACATAGAGAACTGTTTGAGTTTCGCCTCTATGCTGCGATGTCTCATACACATCCTGGTCAACGCTGATCCAATGTCTCTGGTCCCACCTGAAAGACATAAAAAAGACAAAAAAAAAATCTTATTTAAAAATTGCAAATGAGCTTTTAATGTAATAATTGCTAAAACCATCCTCTCATTTATATAGTCATGCCTCAATAAATGAACAGTTTTGACAATAAGGAGAAGACTAGAGACCAGAGGGACAATGCAAACCTCTTGTAGGTTGCTGTACATCTAAATACTGAATGGAAAGTAGTTTGGTGATTATATTGAAGTGCAGTATAGAATAGTCAGCTAATGTTTTTAATTAATTCACTTCATACTAGATTGAGAGTGACTTTGCTGCTGGGAAAAAAATGTGGCTAGACTTTCTAAATGAAACATCTGTAACAAGCACTCATTGACCCCACTCTCCCTACTCCACTGAGGTTTAAAACTGTGGGAATTGGGGGAACACTGAGTTATGAATTGCACACATATTCAGGTCAGAAAAAGTGATGGGACGTTTGAGCTGGAGCCTAGCAAACGTGCTCCAGGCTAGTGTCAGTATCCTTCACACAGGCTAACTAGCTTTCCACTGGAAGGCTTCAGGCTGGACAGCTAAGCAGGGACTTGACATTGATTGACAGAACTATTGTCTGGCTGCTCAGTATGACTAGCTGGTTTCTCTGTGGGACTGAAACACTACTGTGTGTGTCTGCATGTGTGCATGAGAGAGAGAGAGAGCGAGAGAGAGAGAGAGAGAAGGTGGGGGCAGAGAGCTCTTGTACGTAAGTGTGTGGGGTTCTTGTGACATTCTGTTCAGTTCACTCATCAGAACCGGAGTGAAACCGTTTGTGAGAATGGTTTTGAGTGTGCACATTGGTTTGTGTGTGTGTCTGTATGTTAGGGAAGGTTGTGATGATCTGATGCAAAGTGTGAATTCCCTCCAACAGAGCAAGCCATTCAGCTGTCAGCAAAGTCCTTGCTGCATGCAGAGACACACACACACAGAGCTGTCACTCACACACACCGAGTGTATGTGTGACTCACAACACACACATTCACTACACAAAATTGTCTTTTACTCTGTCAGAGGCTGGACAAAACAAATGCAAGAGGCTGCTGATTTGGCCTGCAACACTCTTGGTGACAGGTACTACAAAAAAAAGAAAAACTGAACAAACTTTCAAAATTAAACTGTGGCTTCATGTGGTCCGAGTTAAAATTATTATTGAATAGTAATGTGATCAGGGCCATGCTAAAATGATAGTAACATCTTATATTGGGGTTGCAAAATGTGCAAATCGGCACTGTACTGCAATTTTTGTGTTTCTGCATTAGTGTCTTTCAGTGAGCTGTGCTTGCCAGAATGACCCAAACATGCACCAGAATGACAAAATATCTACCCGTCTCTTTTCCAAAACTAAACCAGTGGCATAGCATCGGTAGTTTCAATCTCAGTTTGTCTGAGAACTGGTTTTCAGACAATCTGCATCTGTCCTGCTTTTCAGAAAGACCTGAATCAGCTCACTGTGCTTTTGGCTGCTCATTGAAAGGTGGGAAAAGCAGAGAAACTGTAACAGAAAGAAAGATACAGGGTGACAGTCAATTAAGCTATTCCAGATGGCAAATTACCACTTTCTCGTACCTTTCAACAATATATAATTTAATGTCAGTCCCACTGAGCCCATTATGACCTAAAATCTTAACCTCTATCCCTTCATTCATCCATTCCTCGTTTACTGTGTGTGCCTGTTATTGCAGAGGGTGTGGCTACTACATGCCATAAAAGACCTTTCTGTTATACAACGCCATAATGCTCATTCATTCCTGCGTTGACTTGTTTAGTCATCCTATCCATCCAACCATCTGCCCACGTCTCCCTTACTATGATGACTGCTTGTTATTCTAGAGGGTGTGGCTGATAGATGCCACAGCGCCACAGAGAGGCCACGCGGCTGGCACAGGTTTTTCATTAAAAAAAATACTGCAGAGTTCTAAGCTATGTCAAGGGAAGAGTTTGGTTTCATGTGGTATATATAAGAAAAACAAAACCTGCTCTTTGCTAGAGGCACAGGTGTGCCATTATGGGTGTGTCACAAAGACTAAACTGTCAGATTTTTGCAGTTCTGCTACACTGAAAGATGGTACTGCTAACATACAAGAGAATTTTTTCTTCAGATGTCAGCCTTGCTCAAGACACTGGTATCGCAAAAATAACTTATCCCATGCCATGAGCATAAATGGGCAAAAAAAATCCAGTTAACTGAGCATGACACCAGAGCAGCATAATAATCATGATGAAAGTCTCTTTTTAAATGAAAATAATTCACAATGTGTATAAGAAGTGTGTTTCTCCCACTCGCAGCAGGTAGCTAGTCAGTGTGGCCTCTGCCATGACTACCAGTTACCGTGGAAACTGTGTATGTATGTGTTTGTATTGTGTGTGCTTACTAAAGTCTGATTTGGCCTCCAATAGTGTTACAGGGTCAGGACCCTTTTGTTTTCTTCCACGTGTTGAGTAAAGGTTAGTGTTTTCATCAGTGTATAATAACCTAGAAATAAGAATAGTCTTTTATGCCTTAGAATGAGCCCTTTTAATCTACTGTGGGAGTGGATCCCCTTTTACAGAGTCCCCCATGTTGAACCCCCATGCTTCTAATGGTAGCCTAAAATGGATTAACAACACACCGGCTCTAGATAGGCCCTGTCAAATTTTTGGGGAGTTTTGCAGCCAAGAATATGACACACACAGCCTAAACATGCAGTCCAATAGAACGTGCAGCAAAGCAGCATTTATCTGACGTTAAGTGTTGTGATTATTTTGATTTAATTTTGCTATATTTTTATACAGTGATATTACGCTGCTGGTGGATATGGGGCCAATCTGCCCTGCTTGCGGAAAGTTGTTTTGTTGCTCTCAGGATAAAGTGGCTGCTAACACACATCATCTACTCTGTCTAGCACCAAGTGACCCCTGGATATTAATAACCACATCGGCAGCTCCAGTTGTCCACCATACATACACACACACAAGCTTCAGTTTCTTTATTGACAGGCCAGACCGCTGCTTTGTGTGTGTGTGTGTGTGTGTGTGTGTAGAAATAGCTGCTGTGTGACATGGTTGTTTCGGAGCCTTGTAATTATTCCTGCACCACCAACACTTAACCAGTTTAAAACCACACCACACATAGACACTTTCAGACCCACCCTTTGGTACATCTGTGTATGAATGATGCTAAACTGATGCCTTCTTCAAACCTAGTTAGTAGCAGTAAGTAGTAAGCTTGCAAAAAATGTTGTATGTACAAATAAATATTTGTACACTACTTTGTCTCTGATATTTCAGCTTTCTGTGGGAACTAGTAGCTCAATAGTCCATAGGGACATTTGCAGAGGTGTTCTTCTGTCAGTGTGTGTGTGTGTGTGTGTGTGACAGTAAGAAAGATAGTTGCCAAGTCTGTCTCTGTCTGACTGTCTGTTGGAATGTCGCACTGTGCTGATGCAGAGTGTCTGTCTGTCTGTCTGTCCATTTTGTAATAAAGCATTAGAAAGAAAGGACTTCTTTCTCTGTAGATTAAGGAGTAATCTGCTCTATATCACAAGTGTCCTGAAATTACTTCTATTATGATTTGGCAAAAATACATATAAAACAGAATTAAAAAAAATAATAATTGAATTAAAATGTTGATGTATTAATGTATTGGAAACATAATGCAAAAAGGCACTTCTACAGTATAGTGCAGTACCAAAACATCATGTGTGCGTAACCACTGTTTATTTTTGGCTAATCTTGAAATACACTCCTGTGTTAAATAAGCTTGCTAGACAATTTTACCCAAAAAAAAAGCAGGTTATGTAACCCACCCTCTCCATAGGATTAAACAAGGGTGGAAGGAAAAAGCTGCTTCTCATAGCAGCCTGAAAGTGACACAGTTTGATGCAATCTGAAACCATAAATAATAATGGTATCAGTGCCGCAGGAGGCAATATGACACTGTATGATCCTCTTCTATAAGTCTGCAGCTTATACCTGCAGTAAAATCAGAACATACCAGTTCTTTATTTGCAGAATGATACCACCAAGCTATACCTAGGAGTGATCTTTTTTCAACAAAAGAAATCAATGCAACAGATCTCAAATGTAAATAACTTTAGACATCAATATTAAAACATGTGTAAACTCTACACCATAGCAATAGTAAGAAACATTAATTTGATATTTGCAGCATAAATGTGATCCACATAACAGCTCAAAGTTAAACATCTTAATCCAATATTTACTGATTCCAATCAATTCCAATTTTTTCAAAGCAATGCCGTTGACTTCATGCAAAAACAGCACTGATTCACCATGAAACATCGAGCCATTTTCCTTTATAGGACCCCATCTCATCTCAGTGAAAAACTACATGAAAGCCTGACATTTCTGACTTGTTACTCCAACTCAAATTCTTTTTCTTTAACCTGCTGTATTTGTAATACACATTCATGTGCTGTACTTTCTAAAAATAAAATCTATAGGTCATTTCTGGTAAACCCACTAAAGAAAGCGAGATACACAAACTAGCCTGCATCTTTACCGTAAAGAAAGAGAGGGGGGGAAGGAGGATAAACACTTTGAGGAAAGGTGGAGAAAGAAAAAATGGAGAGAGAGAGAGAGAGAGAAAGAGAGAGAGAAAGAGAGAGAGAGAGAGAGATTTGGCCTGCGTAGTTTAGACATGAAGATCAGAGAAGGAACCAAGAAACCAACTCTGTATGGGCACCAGATGGTCGCTGTTAACTACGGGCCAGTGGTTACACTGATAAGAGACTGGAGTCCATACAGCTGGATACACACACATGCACTCACCCAGCTGGACAGAGGTAAGGCGATCTGTTCACTAGCTAATTAGAGAGCTGGAGAAAACACTAATGCTACATCCACACAAAACCAGCTGAATTTAAAAAAGCGTCTTTTCCTCATCATGTTGGCCTACAATCAAACAAAGCTGATTTTTTTCACACTGAATTATGATGTACTTTTATATGGCTGTGTATAGCAGTAATCTTAACAAGCTGATTA